GTCTCGGATTCACTCATATCCTGATTCTAGAAGAATTCAATCTTCCTTAAGTCGATTTCGCTGAACATACGTACGTTGGAGGCGACAACTCTGCTGAAGCTCGATTTTTCAACCTAATTGAAATTTTGTGATTATTCGGAAACGTCAATTCAGCAACCCGTCGAAGAAACTGTCATGCACCGTCGCGCTTAGAATGAGTATTTACAATCGAAGAATTCCCCATTGACAGCCTCTCAGTCCTGGCTTCTTCTAGGTGAAAGCGATCACGCCGTCATAGCCTTCAGTTTTATCAGCAAAACTGATCTAAGAAATCCTAGCGACAGCAGGTGCCGGAATTTCAAGCGTTTGAATGTGTCATCTTTGCAGGACATTCTACATCAGGTGGGTTAGAAAACTGACTCTTAACTTGACGTGTACGCTCATTTGGATTTCTGAATGTGCAGTCTGTTCCGTAAACGATCGCCAAAGCCTACACGAAATCTGAGATCTTTAAGAAATGTACTACTAGGCCGGATGAAAACCAATTTGTAACAATAGAAAACAACTGAGGGAACAATGCACAGACACAATAAGAGAAAATGAGTTTCCGTATCAAATAAACCTGACCACTAAATTTGTATCCAGTACGAAAAGCTCATTTCTTCATTCAGCCTCTCCTCCACAAGCCAAAACCAGAGTTTTCCAATTGTCAGTTCCCATTGGCCCGACAAACACTGGCAGTGATACCACTGACCTTCTGTCAGAACAGTACTCTCAGACATTTCAACCGACTCATCCTAGCGATATATTGATAGGAACTTCACCTGAAACTCAGCAGGACTGTCAGAAGTGAACTTGAGCGCCGACTTGGTGTACCGGAAACAGCAGACTTCTCCTGGTTCAGATGTGGTTCATTCTGCTACACTGAAGAAAGCAGTTTCAGTGTTTGCGACACCGCTTTGCGTGATGTCCTCTAGCTGCCAACCTGTAGCACTTCTCTCAATAATCTCAAAGGTTACGGATTCTCTGGTTTTGGATGGTCTACAGAACTACTTATTATCCATAAACTTCTGTTCACACCCACAGCACGGTTTTGATAGCATCAACCATACATGTCTTATCAGTAAGCTCAAACGACTATTTATAATATCACCTCTAATTAATCAGCACACTCTATATTTAAAAAACCAACATTTTAAGGCGAGGGTTAACCTCACTTTCTCTCACTCTATGAAATAGCCTTGTGGGTTCCCCCAGTGTTCAATGCTAGAACCTCTTCTCTTGATCTATGTAAACGGTCTATCACAACAGGTATGGTCAGACTTATTACTTTTCACTGACGATGTGAAACTGAAGGGAAGTACGAAACCAAGACGGTAAACCAGCACTCCATGAGGATCTGACTCGACTTCAAAGTTGGACAGATGACAACGGACTTCAAAGTGTAAAGTAGTATATCTGAGACATGATGCGGACTACGAATGCAGTTTATGCAGCTCCCCTCAAGAGGTACCCCAAGCTAAAAAGGATCTAGGGGGGCTAGTACCCTATCATTTGATGTCTACGCTAACTGCGACAAAATTGCCTCTCGAGCAAACCCTGCACCGGTAACATCGAAGCGCATTTTCGGTTAGTTCGACGGAAGAACTTTTCACATAATCTTCAACAGTTTTATTCGTCCCCAGTTAGAGTACAGCAACATAGTACCTCCTCCCTCACTCCAAAAGGATAAGAACACTCCAGAACGTATTCAACAGCGAAACATGAAATCGATTTGGACATTCAAATTCTAGTCTTATGAAGAGCGCCACCAACCGCAGAATTCTTACCCATTAGAGTACAGGCGTCTCAGACGTGACGTTTTGATGACCTTAAGCATCATAAGTGCTTCTAAACATCCGCTTACGCACCTACTTAAGCCTAGTCCCAATACAAATCTTCGGGGCAACACCCAGAAACTGGTGACACAACACAGCAGAACCGACTGTAGACACCCAACTCCTTAGGAGTAGTTTAATCTTGGAACTCCCGCCGGCTGTGTTGGTACGAGCGACTCTCCAGGAGTCATTTGCGAGAAAATCTGACATACTCTGAAGGACTAAGGACAGTACCTCTCTCAGGAGTTAGTATTTGTGAGTTTTATGGAATAGGACAAAACTTGGATCCTGAAAGTCCTCAGAAAAACCGCTTCTTGAAGGTTACATTTGCCACAGTTGAAGAAAGGCACCTGATTCTAGATAACTCACGTAAACTGATTGGATCCGGAATATATGTCCGTGAGGATCTCAGCCTGGCTGATAGTATTAAGGGACGAGCTGCGGAAGTGGAAATAAATGAGCGTCGCCGAAACAGTGAAAGAAACCTCGTTATTAAGGGTTTTCAAATTGTAAATCTTCGGAGCAAAACGATCCCCAAACCACTCTGGGTAGTAAGGGGAAGTCATCCACAGACTTAAAGGTATGCTACATAAATGCTCGCAGCCTACTAGATAAAATGGCGGAGCTCAAGTCAATGGTACGACTTAAGAAACTCTTCTCTTATAGATCTAGTCTTCACACACGGCGATGATGTTGGTCAAGTGACTTTTCTCCCACCACTAGGGAGGAGTGACCATCCAGTCATCTCATTCAAATTCATGTCTGAGATTGCCTGCCAAACAATTGCGCCGGCCCATCCTGATATATGGAAGGCAGATATGGAGGCAATCAACTCCTCAGCATCGGCTGAAAACTGGGAAATTGACTCAAGGGCATCAGTACAAGAGGCATGGACTCTTTTCAGTCAGTTATACAATCGGGTCACTCAACCATACATACCCTGGACAGTCCCAAAGAAGAAGAAGCACGGCCATCCCTGGACAGGCCGTGATATTCGGCGTTTACTAAGACAAATGAAGAAATGTTGAAATGTTGCCATCCGCCTTGGCACAGCAGGTACGATGGAACGCTACAGATCGGTAAGAAACAAGTGTATAACAAAACTTCGGGAAGCTCAAAGAAAATATGAAATGCAGTCGGCACAATCTGCACTCAAGCAGCCCAAGAGAATATTGTTGTACATAAACAACAGAACATGGATGGATCATTGGATTCCCAACCTAATTAAAGAAGGGAGAGAATCTGAATTGATAAAGTAAGATCAGGGAAAAGCAGAGGCTATGGCTGACTATTTTGGGGCAGTTTTCACTCAGGAACCTCCTATAGACAAAGAACCAGACCAAAATAGAGAGTCAACAAATCACCTGCTCACCGTGGACTTCGATCAAGACTATGTGCGTAAGGCTCTTAGCACCTTAAACATGGAAAGGTCAACAGGACCAGATGAACTACACCCCAAAATCTTGAGACATATTGCACAATATATCGCGGCCCCACTGACTGTGATATTCAATATGTCACTTGACCAAGGTGTGTTATTTATGGGCTGGAAGGACGCGATCGTCACTCCCATACACAAAACAGGATCAAGACAAGTTCCATCAGACTACAGACCTGTAAGCCTCACCAGTGTTGTAGTTAAAATATTGGAAAGAATAGTCAAACGGACCATAATGGCATTTGCGGAAACCAATAACTTGCTAAGCATAGAACAACATGGTTTTAGAAATGGTCTATCTTGTACAGCAGCCCTCGTTATAGCAAAGGAGTTTTGGATAAAGGCGCTAGACAGCGGAAACTCAGTGGATGTTTTCTACATAGACTTCAGTAAGGCTTTTGAGAACGTGCCAACTAATAGACTACTATTGAAGTTGGGAAGCCTTGGTATTGCCGAACCTCTTTTAAAATGGATTAAGGATTTCCTAGTAGGTTGTAGACACAGAGTAAGAATAAATTCCAAGTGCCCCATCTGGAGACCAGTACTTAGTGGGGTACCTCAAGGCTCCGTCCTAGGTCCTTTACTTTTAATAATATTAATGATCTTCCAAGTATGGTACAGTCTCCAATGTTATTATACGCTGACGATGTAAAGATCTGGCGAGTAATAACTGGAGACACAGACGCACGTGCTCTTCAGGCAGACTTAATTAATATGACTAACTGGTCTAAAGAGTGGCTGGTGCCTATAAACGCGGCAAAGTGTGTCTACATGCACTTTGGGGACTCAAAGGTTAATAGGTAGAACATAGGGAAAGTTCCATTACCCGTGGTCCGGTCTCATAAGGATCTAGGGATATCAGTGAGTCATGATCTTCAGACGACGGCCGATTGCCGGGAGATCGCAGCCAAGGGGTTTCGAACCCTCTGGGCTTTAAAACGGACATTCTCTAAGTTAGATACTTCCATGTTCACCACAGGTTACGCATCCTTAGTGAGAACTAAGCTTGAGAAATGTGCTCAGGCTGCAAGCCCCTGTTTAAAAGGCGACTCGGATATCCTAGAAGAAGTACAGAGGGCAGCTACCCGTGCATTTCCAGAACTCCGGGGCTTACCATACAAATAGCGGCTTGAAAAGCTGGACCTCTTTACTCCGTCCTATCGCAGACTAAGGGAAGATCAAATTTTGATGTACAGAACACTGAGAAATGATTTCGGACCTGACTTATTCTCTCTTTTTCTTCCCACTAGATCAGGACATCGCAGAGGAAATAACAGGTGAGTGGAAAAGCCAAGAACGAACAAAATACCCGTGGCATACAGGTTTTCACATCGTGTCACCAATACGTGGAACCTGCTGCCCGAAGCATTGGTGTCCGCACCTCCAATTGACTTTTTCAAGAGAAGACTGGACATTCACAGAAGCATGCTAGAAGAGGAATAACATAGGCTGTAGGCCTTCTGTCCTTACCACACAAATCTGAATCTATAATTCATCAACTTGTAGAATAAGCTCATGGCGAATGCACTGCATCTAGAAGTTATCCAGGTAGAATCAGCAAATTAGACTTGTAAACTTTCAAGGACTGTTTTTGTGTTACAAGAAGCATGCTGATGTAAGTGATTTATTTAACCATCATTCGAAAAGATGTTGAACCTTGAATATTAGGGTTACGATTTCGTTGAAGAATTCGATTCTTGGCCTTAATGTCCTTGACGTCGGACAATGATATTATTTGGCCATGGCAATACAAGTTCCCGCCGTTCTTCACTCTTCAACCAAATGCTGAGACCCGTCGCAAACAAATAAATGCGTGGTGTCAGTTAGTCCTTAATTATTTTCAAAGTAAAAAGCAATTCTCACTGAGTGTTGCAAGTATTCGTGATCCCTCCTGTCCTCTCTTTAATAACAAAAGTATTCAGCGCTCAGCAAGCCCAGAATTGATCGACCTCATTTTGACTGAATTGCATAAGCGTGGTAATCTTGAGTGGGTTGACAGGTAATTACTTAGTTATTTTCCTAGGCCAGTTGATCTCCGGGTCAACTTCTACTTCTATAGATGTATAAATATCTAGTAAACATCTAGTGAAATTATTTCTCTTTCTCCGTAGCAACTTAACTTTGATTAAACCAACATAGTTATTTTAACTATAGCACATACAGAAATTCGAAAACAGCGTACATGTGTTATCCCTTTTTTGCTTACTTCCGTGTGTGTCTGGTGTTCTGAATGAGGTAACCGGAAATGCGGACGCCGTCTCTGGTATTTGTTTTCAAGTTGACTGCTGGGTGATAGGATCTGTATCCTTAGGGATTCTGTTCGTTGTCGGGTTTCAAATTCGTATGGTTTTGTCCTATTACAGTTTTAAGAAATGACAAGTAAGGTTCAAAATCGTTCTCGGAATTCTTTACACTACAATTCAGTCGCCCTGTAGTTTGTAGTATTGTAATGAAAAAGTAATTTTTAAAGTAACCTATGTAATCTTCACAAAATCCAAGTGGCCTTTTATATAGGGCCTTGCGACCTGTAAAGAACTTTCCTATTCAAGTCTCACTAAAATTATAAAAGCTTGTCTTAATACCTATACACTTTTAAGATTCTTAGTACCTATTTTCTATGTTTATTTGGATGGAGCAGCACTGATCGGGACTCGCCATCTCTTGGATCACATAAGCAGGACGCCGATGTTGCATTGAAATATATAAATACTACCAGTAGTGTTGGTTAGCGTAGTTTTGAAGACGAAAAGATGTGATTATCGTAGCAATTGGTGGTTATGCATAAAAGAAAGGTTGGACATAAGGATATAGTACAGGAAGAAAGAATTAGTTGGTAGGAGAAAAGATATAAGTCGACTTTAATCTCATGGTTTAAGGGAAGACAGAGTGTATACACCTACGCCATTGTGATCGATTCTGGGCCAGAGTTGCGCGGACCTCAAGCAAGTAGTCCACATCTACCAACATGGCTAAGGCTAGAAGTTAGTGATTTTAAGCACTGATGCCACGTTTTGGTTTGGCCGCCCCTAACTTTCTTCCAACCATCCCAAACACTAGTCAGTATTGCAAGTTTCTGATCAAAAAGTTCCTGCCTAGATCCCCATGTCTGTTAGATCTGTTCTTTATCGATTGATTACATTGCAATAATATAATATATAAAGTAAGGACTACTGTAAATTTTTATTTATCAGTGACCTTTCCCTGATTTTGGTACGATTCTATTGATGAGGCTTTATCTGATTCGCCATACTCTAATTATAGATAGACCAAGATAAAATATTTAGAAGCTGGTTTCTTGTCAAAATAAAATTTGTTATGTTTTTCTATACAGAATACTTGATAATTAACCGATTTTCACAGTAACGTATCATTAGTTATCATATTAGGCTCCCGTAAGTCAGTCAGTCAGTAACAACGTAGAACTTCGTACGTACGTACATCAGTTCGAGTTGCCACACCACATTAGCACAGAGATGCAGTTGTCGATTCAAATCCCATAGTGGTAGAGGTAATAAGAGTATAAGCAGTAATCGGGAAGATTAGGGTTTGGAGATGTTATTTAAAGAGTATAATCCAATGAAATAAATTTGGAAAGAGGAAAAAAGGGACATGGAGAATTCAGAAGATTAGAATCTGGGAGAACACAGAGAGTGGATGCACCTGCGCCATTGTAAACGATTTTGAGCCATGTCATTCAGGGTCTCTAACCATCGGTTGCTATCATCTCGCGGTCCCCAACCAGGTAGTCTACACCTACCAACATGACTCAGTCCACTTGTCAGTGACTTCATGGACTTGTGCCATGTTTTGGCTCCCGTAAACCTAATGTATAGACAGTATTTCAACATTTAACTTGCTCTGTTGGTCAATGGTAATTGATTTCTACACTGATAAAATATACTTGACTTTTATTCCAACCTTTAGGTCTCATACCAATGCCAAGATTATATGGCGGACTCCTGAAGAATGGGCTGATATTATAGCGAAGTGGGCCCGATCCACTGGTCACGGAAATTCAGTTTGCACATTTTACGAGTTGACTGACGGTGACGATACAAAGCAAGAAGCTTTTCATGGTTTAGATGTATCTGTCTTAACAAATGCATTAACTGTCCTTCAAAAACGAGGCCAAGCTGAAATAATGGAAGATGAAGGTGTAAAGTTTTACTGTTAGTCTGCTTTATCTATAGTCTTCAAGTAAACTTTACGACACAGTAATATAGTGGTTGTCTTTTTGGAAAACCCCTTTATCTTCGAAGCGGGTAATCTCAAGTTCATGGGTTTATTTTCACTTCCACCTATGACAAAACTGAAAATTGTTCTTTGATTATTCTAACTAACCGTCGTACACAATGTTAATGTGGACCTTTATATGAATCCGATTTTGAAGTGTGTTTTTTGTTGCACGAGGTTTCAATAATAATCCAGTACCCAGTCTAAAGTGAATTGTGAATAATTCTGTTGACTCTGTAGACTTTTACTTTAGCTTTCTTTGTAACTAGTAATACTTTTTAAGTATGGTTTTTATTGACTTTAACCTGTATGTAAATATATGTAATAGGAATGGGAAATTCCATTTAATCAATTTAATGGAAATTTTCTTTTATAGTTAAAAGACTTTAACTGACATTGCTGTTATAATTGTTATCGTTATTTAAATTGGCTGTGTTTATGTTTCTCAGTTTTGTAGTTTCTCATTTTTAGTTCTATGTTGGGTGTTATTTATTTATTTATTTGAACACATAGATATTGGTACAAAGGGGAACCGAATAAATATGCGCCACACAAGTCACTTGATTTGTGTGTGGGCTGTGATACTGTCCGGATCGAAACAGGCGGTTTCTCAGGAGGCCATACCCGGAGCCGTCGACCTAAAGATCTGATCCACAAGGCAGTGGAGCCACATCAGGAGATACAGTCCCATGGTAGCCGGTGACCAACGATTGGTTCATACGCCATTTGTTCCGTCAGGATCCTGGAGCCCATGTGCACCATTGGTTTGGAATCAGGGTTTTCCGACTCCCTTAGGTGAACCCTCAGTACCCACCGATCCAGTTAGAGCGCCAGGCTTTCGTTTTTTGTCCTCTCAATTTCTTAACGTCCTCGCCTCGGTAAGGCAGTGAGTAGGGCTTCCCTGGCAGTGGCTGTATACGCATGGCCATGTGAGAGCATTTCGTGAAGGAAAGCGGACTCTCCCCACCCTCGACCGTACCAGGGGTTTTGGGAGGCACTTAGTTTTGGTTCATTATTTGAAAATAAAATGAATATTCACTATTGCATAAAGATTTCAGCATATTGAATTTACACTTAGCTGCAGATGATACCCTTGATATGGTGTTCTTGATTATCCATCGTAGTGACCCAACTGAGTTATGTTTGTAGATGCGCGTTTTTCTTTTAGTGTCCTAAAAATCATGATGTGGTTATTTGGGAGGTAATAAAGCTAAGAGCAGCATATTTCAGTTTCGAAAGTGAAATTGTACTGTTAAATATACTCGACTGTGATGGTAGTAAAATACTAAGTAGATTGCATCTTTAGTAACGGGACCTCATCACGCATTAGGTAAGCGGTTAATTAAAATCCACCTCGAAATACCGCCCTTTGATCTCAATATAATCACAGCACTGACAGCAAGTTCTCTAAAGCACTGGGATAAAATCATTCATTCTTAGAGATCATATGCGATCTGCTGCAGGCCATTATCCCTTGAGGACTGCAGTCACGTTTTGAAATCGACGAGATTATCAATTTTGATTCAATTTTCCTTGTTTTTGTCGTGATATTATATTCTATGGTATAGACAAATAAATTAATAGCCACCTAGACACTTCTAGTAGCATTCGGGTTTATTATATTTATCAGCAACTTCACCTCTTACCCCTACTATCAGTCTTTCCTCTCTATGTTCATTTTTTTCCATATGTACCTCCAGTCTTAACGAACCGGGCCTGAGGAATGTTGTTTGGTATGGTAACCTAATAGAAAGTCTTAGACCAGATTCAGTCCAACAATATCCTGTATATTGTCCTCTTAAATGGCAATGAATAAACTAGGATAAAATGTCTTCCTCAATTGCCCCTTGTCAACTGTTTACTTTTATCAGGAATCTACTTAATGGATGGAGAGAAATATCATTCGTTTCCTCGACTATCGAAGTAAATAAGGTTATGGGATCAAATATATCATATCTCGACCAGGTATCAATAGACTGGCTCAATGAAAGGGTGATACTCCCTTTATAACACACTTAGACATTATGTTTTGATCCGAGGATATTTCTCACTTTGGATGCTTAATCAAAGCAATACCAGAACCTATTTAGCTAGATGATGAAAACGCTAAAGATATATTAACACTTTCTGGTGTGATTCCAGAAATAGTTTTTACCGTTACTAGATTGTTTGAGGTGGTCAGACCGATAATTTACCAAAATTGTAAATTTCGAAGCACAAAATCTGGATAGTTGATTAAGTGTGCGAATGTTTAAGAGTGTATTAGGTAATTGAAGTTTAATGTATGTACAAGGTACCTAGGAAAATAATGTAGCTGTAAAAATCACTTACCATTCGACTAGTTAGTAATTAAACATGAGAGTCAAGCTCACGACTGATGATCATTAACTTCTGTTTTTTGTGATACTCTCAATTTAACGCAATAGCATAGTGGGGTCCGCGATGTTTCATATAGTAGCCTCTTAGTGGAGTGTATATTAGTGTTGCAATATAGATAATCACGTGACAATAGTTTAGAGTTGACTGTATGGATGATGGTGAAAGGTTCGATTGAGTAGCCCAGGAAAAATTTGACAAAATTACTAACCAAATGATAGAAAGGCTGTTAATCTGCACAACGAAACTAATTGTTCACTTTTATCCCGTTTATGTGATTAAGTTCGTAAGTTATTGGACAATGCTGAACAGGTTTAATGTAAATGACAATTCATCATCAGTCAATCACAATCTTATTTGTTGTTGTTCAACTATAAAATATTAAAAATAGGGAAATGGCTTTTAGAATAAGCTTCATAAAATGTTTACAGAAATAAACCTGACAAAGTTGTTATCGAGTTATATATATATATATATTAGAAGCTTAATTCTTTGAATAAATGCAAACAAATGTTCGTAATAGTTTGGTAGTGAGATATTGATAATACGTCATATAATGCAATTAATCAATGCTATTCAAATCCAAGTCATGGAGCTGCAGATCAATATGTCTCTTGGGAGGTCATTGTCTGTGTGATCTACAGTTAGAAAGATGAGAGTGTTCCATAGATTATACTTCTGTTGTCGAGGTAAAACAATCTTAAGCACCTTGAAATTTTCAATGATAAAAATAAATTACGCTAATGATCCTGAGAAATATATGTTCGATCACTGTCTAATTACATTTTCACCAATCCAATTACAGGTTTTCTCATCGGGTCCAAATTTTCTAAATATCACCTGAAAATTCAACGAACTATGCCAAATATATGAACAGTACTCTGTGGTTTTCAGTAGTCATCTAGCCAAAAACCATTCTGTAATCTAAACGATAAATTATAATAGCTTGTTCATTTTGAATAGCACAAACCTCCGTGAAATAATAATGGTGTAGTCTTAATGTTGATTCGTTTTACTATACCCTGAGGAATCATTCAAAGAAACTTAGTGATTCCTACCGATCAGACCCCAGTCATAAGCAACATAGAATCTGAGGCATATATGCATCGATTCAAGTTGCCACACAATATTAGCACAGCGAGATGAAATGATCAAAATTAATGCTAGATTAGTAGAAGTGGTAACAGAATCGGTGCTAGTAGAAAAGTTTAAGCATAAACAGTATTATACAAGAAGAAGGAACGAATCCGTGAGATAAAAAGTATGATATAATCTTAAAACTCAAAATGTAAATGGAGATAAAGAGCTGCTGCCTCCACACCACTGCACCCGATTCTGAGTCATTTCTCTCAACTTTCTCGCTCCGACCACATCCAGGTAGTTCGCACCTACTAACGTGGCTCAGTCTAAGTGATCGATCGAACCAAGTTTACTAAGACCGAAAAGAGAACTGAACAAAACAATGGATTGGGTAGCAAATCTCAGTTTCTTTTAAGAAAACACAAAGGATAATTCATTGATTACTTCGATTTATATGAACTTATGCTTCTCATAAGCTTGATTGCTGAAAGTAGTCTTTTATTCAAATTTGGACATGCTTAACTTTCAGTTTTGTCAAATCAGAGTTGGTTAGATGGCTATGTCATATGATCGTACAGTACTGTCTACGGCATATCAGTTTGTTAAAGGTATCATGAATACTGATAGTCTTGACGAAGTTATTCTCACTTGATGCTGACTCTTTATTTGCTGGTGTACCTCCAACAAAAAACTCTGTTTTGTGTATAAAATGTAAATTATTAGAACACCAGCTTCCTATAGTCTAAGTTACGCATTTGGGTTTTCCAAAGAAACATGATTTAAATATATCAGATGAATTCATGGTATCTTTTGATGTAGCAAGTACATATTAAGAAGGGCCTATACATGGTTTTCTAAACATATTCCTAGGAACCAAAGACTTAAACGGAGTAAGGTCGTTAGAAGTGCAATTACCCGACAACTTTTGGATAGTGGACAAGAAGTGGATGTAATTAATTCATTCAAAACAATTAACAGACAAATAACATCAGTCTTACTCCGTTTTGCAGAGGTGACTGCTATCAAACGTTTCAGACCTGACCTATGTCAAAAAAAGGAACTTGTAATTAGCCTTTCCCTGCCATATTGATCGGGGGTTCATCTAATAACCTTTGGTAATATTAACTTTTCATCTTTTTTCAACCACACCTGAAACCTTTTGTCTTGGTTCTTATTTCGTCTTTTGATATTCATCCCTCACATAGTCATACTAATGTTCACATATTTGTTTATTATATCATCTTGAGCGATTACACAATCATTTATTAGTTTCGCTATCTTTACATAGCCTCTTTTATTTTGATTATGATTACTGGTAATTATAACAGCTGTTTTACTCTGCATTATAACTTCCCAAAACATAAATACACATCGATCTTAACTATGTTTATTTATACACTTTGTATTCGTATTCTTCTTATTCTTGTGATTTCGGCTACGCTTCGAACATTTTTCTAAACTTTACAAACTAAAGTATGATAAACA